AAAGGAACTGTGCGAGACTAGCCGGCCCACGAAACGAGCACGAGGGTGAAGGATGAAGAAGGGTATCCAAGCTTTGCTTTGATCAACAAAGCCACCAAACAGGCCATCAAACACTCCATCGCTGCTACACAACCGGTAATTAACCTCGTAACCGCTCGCTTTCGTCTTTTACGGAGACGGATCAATTTATTAATGTGTGTTTGTTGATTTGTATTAGGGTTTTATGTTTGATCTGAATTAGCTTCTTGAACTGTTTGATCCGCACACCTTGTTTTCGTCGGGATACGGATCAATTTATTTATGTGTGTTTCTTGATTTTTATATTAGGGTTTATGTTTGATCTGAATTAGCTTCTTGAACTGTTTGATCCGCACACCTTGTTTTCGCCGGGAACCACCGAAGTTTATATTCATGGGTATTTTGTATTTACAAGATTTATGTTCACTACTGTTTGTCTTCGTAGCTCTGTTTCATCGTGTAAAATCTGATGCCTTTCATGATTGGGCTAGAGGTTTTCGATTTTCTTTACTGGAGCAAAAACCGCCCGATTTTTATAAATTCACATTCGGAAGTTGGAAATAAATCTAAAGTGGAGTCGCTTGTGTTCTATTGGAATACTATTTTGATTCGAAAAATCTCAAGTTTATGATCGTATGTCTGTACGGATAAAAATACGGGAGAAAGATTCGTAGTTTTGTTAGTCGTCTTGCAAACCAACATTTCCCATCTAAGTATAAAAAATCCTGTTTTTTTATCTGCTGTCATCTCGAACAAATTTCAAGATTCATGCTTTTATAATGAAAAAAGGTTAGAGAGTTAGGTGCCTAAATATCGACTATTTTGTGGTTGTTATAGTTCTTAAAATTTTATTAAGACAAGAAATGGCTGTAACTTGTTACATGTCGCGTGATTCTTACAATGATTTGTGAAAAATACTTTGCATCAGAATATTTGATTAGATTAAATTTTTTTTTTTTTATAATGTGACAGGTCCAGTTGACTGCTTACAACCCTAAGACACTGGATGAATCGATATTATGGACGGAGAGCAAAGACTTGGGCGATAGTTATCGAACGATAAGGATGGTTAATAACATAAAGCTAAACATAGATGCTTTTAATGGCGATAAAAATCACGGTGGGGTCCACGATGGCACCACAGTTGTTCTCTGGGAGTGGAAGAAGGGAGATAATCAACGCTGGAAGATCGTTCCTTACTGTAAGTCCCTTCTGCACTATAAGAAGTCGAATTATAGGTTTTACATCCAAATATTTTGAATTTTTAATAGTTGACTAATATCTACTAATTTAATCTTTCTTGTATACTCTCTAGGATATACGAAGGGAGAACAGAAGCCTTCTGTGTTCACAGGTGTTTCTATGGCTTCGATTATTAATGTAAAACACGGTTTATAATTTATATATGTGTGCCTTTCGGCTCTTGTTGTGGTAACCTTAAAATTGTGTATGTAGTTACGTTTAAATAAATAATGCAGCCGGACTATGGGGGCTTACATCCGCTTCGTTCGTGCAGGCTTGTAGTTGTATGTATATGTATGTATCGAGTATATTGATGATGTACTATGAATAAGATCTATTTATGGACTTCTGATCCTATTATGTTTCCTTAAATAAGATTTGTTCTAGAGTTTCTACGGTGTTGTAGGTGTTACACCCGGTGAAATACAACGAGCAATTTTGTTGATCGTACACAGGGGTGGCTGGGGCGCC